CCCCAGCTCATGAACCCTGCCAGAGGTACAGCTGTGGGACATCAGAGAAAATGGTAACGAAGCTGGGCGAATTCAGCTTTTCTACCCTTTCCTCTTGTATAACTCCCTTCAGTGTCTGCTGTAGAGAGACAGGGAATAAACTTAAAGCCTATTTCAAAGAGGATCAGTACATCTGGCAACCAGAACAGACCCATGTCTTCAGCAACATCCCACCCATGCAGAAAATCAGGCTAGATTTCCTTCTTGGGATTTCGCATTGAAAAGGTCCTATGCCCTCAAAAAGGGGCAGCAAACATTGACTAATTTTCTATTGTCTTGCAATGTTTTATTAAGTACTTGCACAGCAACATACAGCACGGCATATGCAAGTCACTAATTCAAACAGTTTACAAAAGCCAAGCTTTACAAAAATACAAGATGAAACACCATTGAATCTTGAACGGAGAGAAGCAGTGCCTGTGTCGATACACAGCTCCCATTTGTGCCGTTTCCTCTGTGAACTGGAATGTTAAAATGATCAAAGGATTTATCAAATCAGAAACTGCAGAGGTTAGTACTAAGTTAAAAAGAAACCCAGAGCCCAGGTGTCCTTGCAGAAAGCATTTCTGAAAAGGAATCCTCTCTTCGAAGTGGGATGGAAGAGATGTGGGACTGCAGAAAAAGGGCTATGCAATAAGCACAGAGAATAGAAATAGAAAACGGATTTAATAATGGATCTGAGCAAGCTGTAGAGATTGGCAGCTTGAATAGTACAATATGACCAGAGGGGCAAGAGATCCTGAAAAACCCTGTAATATAGTGACCATATGATGCACAAAGCAATTATCAATAATTGTGTTATCTTAAAGACAAATTAAATCTCATTTTAAATAATTAAAATTAAGAATCAGATTCTAATGCTTGTTATACAACGCTTAATCTCTGAAGAGAGATGTTTATGAACTATGCGTACAAAATTGAATCTGTCTCTGAAAGTGGCATTTTACTTGCTCTAGAACAAGCTTTTTATTCAATCAAGGGTAGAAAATCTGAGCCAACTCTGTGGAATCAGTGATGGTGACTTAAAGTCCAGGATTACACATCAACTGAAAGAAACAAAAAAAATTTAGAAGCTGAGAAACTTGCCATTTTAAAGGCAGAAACTAGCTAGTGTTAGTATAAGCCTGCAGAATTAGCAGTACTGGCCAGGTCAGTAAAGTACATCAATCAGTAACACTCATACAGTCACTATAAGGTACCTCACCCTAACCCCAAATCTGTCTTTCAAAAATATCCTTTGGAGCACTTCGGAAGAGTAAGGTATAGCTATGGTCTCAGACTACCACCAAAAAATCCCTAGTCATAGAAAAATTTAGCGAAGACCACATTACAGTGACCTTTTGAATTATCTTTTAGCTGCTGTAAAATGCACAACCTCCTTATTGTTGCAAAACAGGATGATACTTTGTAATTCCATGCAATTAGTATCTCAAGTAGACATACTCAAAATAGAAGCTTCCCGTTCCAGTGTCAGGAATACTGAGTGACAACCAGTTCAGCATCATCTAAGGTTAAAAATAAAAAATGATAAAAAAAAAAATCTATATTGCACATAAGAATTGCTAAATCGTTACAGCACACTGGATTTTCTTCAGCTTTTCCCCGCCCAGGAGCTGAAATTTAAATTTAAGAAATACAGAAAAGTGCTGGTCCAGAACGTTAAGTTCATGATATAAGGCAAAACACACTAAATTCCTGTTTCTTTCAAAAGAAATTATATACTTTGATTCGCAGGTATGAAATTATTAATTTCATATTCTTGAAAAATGTTTAAAAATAGTAATGAAAGCCTGAAATGCTTCTGGTTTTGTAAGAGTGCCTTGCACATGGACTCCCAGTTATGCCAGCCATCTCAGGGCTTTGTAAGATGGACAAAAAATAAAAAACTGATGCAAAGGAACTGAAGTCAAGTGTCTCTATACACTACTGTTGACATGCCAAATCTGTGATTTAAAAAACCTGCCCAATATGGGCAAGTTCCCAAGTTTACTCCAAGAGATCAGTCCTTCACTAAACACTTTCCTACAATCTAGCCTTCTTGTTACCACATTTCCTACCTCAGCCATTTGAAATGAGCCTCGAGCTGCCTTTCTCATGTGTACAGGTAGATAAAAGTACAATATAGTACTTCTATAGTACTATAGAACAAAGTAGATAAAAGTCTGCATAAGGAAAGGTACGAAAAGGCATTCAAGCATTCTTCTACAATGAAAATTTTTAAAGTCATGCTTGATTATTATTTTATTTTTTTAATAAAGTCAAATATCTCTTCTTAAAAATTTTGGTATTTTTCCCATTTGATATCCTGCAGACTTTGTATATCCATCAAGAACTTACACAGCCATAAAGCCAGTGAATGCTGGAGACAGCCTCTTGCCCAAATAAAGGTATAGGCACAAAGAACTGATTCCACAAATTACACCTAAAATTAAATCTGTGAGTTGTATTTCTGTGTACTGCCATCTTGACACCACATGCAGTATTTGCCCAATCCCCAAATAAACCCATGCTCTTTCTTGTACAAATGTATTCATGCATTCCAGTATTCTTTTCTAAAAAGGAAAGCTCCTTTCCACTCCGCTCTATTTAGCAATCAGAAGAAAACAAAGATGTGCAGAAATTTCAAGAACACAGAACAGATTTGACGTGCAAGTAATTATAGCTGTCCCAGTTCTACCCTGACAGCAGACCCTTCTGACCTGCTGCTCGCTGCTACGCTGCACCGAAATCATCATTCTACTCGCCTTCACAAAAACAAAAGGCATCCTCTTTCCCATAGCGCTTCCACTCTGTGCTGAGGTGAGGAACTTAGATTTCTAATACACTGTAAGGACAGGAAGAGCAGAGTATGTGCAAAGCAATCGCAAAGCCAGCAGCAACCAGATTAACATGACATTCAACGCTGGACAACTGTTTATCTCACTCTGCACTATGGATTACCTTTAAGAGAGAAATCACAGCCAAAAGATCACTTTAGCAAGAGAAGATAAAACATGTATAAATTGGTATACATTACTGCCATCACTATCACCATGTTGTAAAGACATTAGTTATCTGAGAAAGGATGCTGAAGGATCTTGGTCTCAACACTTTCTGATGTGGCTTCAAAATTCGCTCGAACATCACCAGTAGAACTAAAGTACTGTTTGACAGTATTTCAGACAAATCATTCCAACTCAAATCCACCGTGCTCTAAAGCAAAGCTAATTATTTCCCAGCTGAGAAAAACCTACTGTTCTGTTTGGTTGTTCTGTGTGGCTGTTTCCCTGTTTCCTTGCAAGGTCATTCCACTTCTCTCTCTTAACAAGATCTCCCTCTGCATTGAAAAGGAAAAAAAAATATACAAATTCTCAGCTAATAAAGATGCCCATTAATTTAAAAGCGGCATCCGGATGTTCTATACATCATCTCCAGGCAGAGCATCGTTCACAAAACACTCAAAAGAACGGCTACTTTACTGAACCTAAGTATGTATTCTATATAGCATGAGACTGATGGATTCATGCTCCCAACAGCATGAATGATTCAAATCAGGCTTTATTTATGTTTAACAGTGGAACTTCTGATCTGTTCATTACCATAATCCAGGGAAGACAGGCCTCATTTTAATAGAATTAAGCAATCTCAAAAAGACACAAAGCTTTGGTAGTCCCAGGGGACGTTCAGTCTGCACTCATTTTATAGTGCCATCTGTGATGCTATTTGAGGAGTATACAGATATTTACCACTTCTCTGTCAGTAGCTTCTAATGTGTCTTGAGGTTTATTACAGCAGCACTTAGCAACTGTGTGTGATGTCCCAAAACCCAGGATCTTCATTTTGTTATATTACTGCTATAACACAGCTTGCTTCTGTAGAACTCGAAGCTGACTCACTTAAATTAAACAGAGCCCTCAGTAATTTTGTCCCCAGCATAGCAAGGAGCCACTTCAAAATAAGCTCCTACGCAGAGGTCCTCCAGTTCACACTTTGGTTTGATATTCACAGTACTACACAGACAGCAAACAGCCCAACTGGGTAATGACGCAGATTTTTCTTCTTAACCAACAACATTTAAAATTTATATATTATATAGATTCACAAGAGAAGTTTTAACATAAACAAGGACTTGTTTGAATTGAGGGTTAAGCATCATAGAGGGCACCTGGAAAATAAATGCCTTTCCACTTGTTGGGCAGGGGTCAAAAGAACACGTAACTGTCCTGCCCTGGCCCAGAAGTCTTCTCTTTCTGTCTTCATGGCAGCATGATGATGAGGGTATCAATGAATCTGTGGTTTAGTCACAACCCAACATCCCCCTAAAGTGCTTAGGAGAAGCCCATATATAAAAATCTCAAACTCCACTCAAGCCTATCAACAGCAGAGCCTAATGTATCTGTAAAGCACCTAACTGCACAAGTTTTCTCATACTTAAAGGCACAGCTTCTGCCATCATCATCAAGCACCACAACTGAATTCTTTCAAAAAAGAGCTACAAAGATCTACTTGTCTGAGAAGAGAAAACAGTATCCAGTGCTCTGCACAAACAGCACAGCTGGAAATTGCTGATGAGCTCTGCTTCATGAATATCTTTGTGAACCACACCTGGTTTTCCCTTTGTCTCCTTTTCCAAAAAGTCTTGCCTTTTGCACATCTGCCTTCTCCAGGCTGGTCTCCCCCTCGTGCCGGAGGGCTGTTCTCCCTGCCTTCTGGGAATATCTTTGGCAGGTGCCTGCTTTGACATTTAAAAAGAACCAACCAGAATTATGCACAATCCTTCCAGGAGTGGTGCATGCTTCTGCACAGTCCTAAGTTGTCACAGGGTTGAAAAATCTGAATTATAATTTCATAATTCAGTACGTTTCAAAGATACATTTACCATATTCCATTGCATGTGCCACATACATGGAAATTCACCTGTCCTTACCAATGAACCAAACTTTTCTCAGTGGCATGCACTGTTAAAACAGTAGCTGTTTATTACTGCTAAAGCACATACTACTGAGGTAGAAAGTGGTATTTACAAAGTTCTCAGAAGTTTAAACATTTGAAAACTGTTTTGGGAAGGCTTGATAGAGCGCCTCAAAAAAGTATAATTTTTAATCCAGTGAATGTCAGGAGAAAAAATAATAAAGAAATTCGTTTTAGTAACTTTAATCCTTTGGCCCTTTTCCATAAGAGCTGATCTTCCGGAAAGCTGAATTCAGGTTTTGGGAATTTTTCCTCTCTAACAACAGATCGAAATTAGTTTGAACCCAAGGGCAACTTCTTTAATACCTGTCCAACACACATTTGACCTTCTCTTCTATGAAAAGCTTGAGAGTTTTTCTCATCTGAAGAGAATGGGAAGTTTAAGCTGGATTTCATCTTTCAGCTGCCAAGGTTTATGAAAGAAACATGAAAATGAAAAGTGACTTGCCTCACAATTAACAAGAAAAGAAACTGAAGCCCCAAATCAAAGCATCAAGACAGCTACAATATTTAGCATTTATAGATGCTCTTCCCGCAGAACAATCTGACGACATTTTTCAGGTCTGTGTGGAAATCATTCCAGCATTTTAATGATATCTTTAAAGAAGAATTTTAGACAGGTGATAGATTTTGTATTTTAATTAAAGCTGCAGAAGAGCTGAGGTCAGCAGAATGATACTGCTTGATCCAATTTAAGAAAAACACTGAGCTTAAAGCCTGCTACATACACAGACTGCGCTGGCTTAGTGACAGTATTATTTCATATTGATTTTGTTAGACTTGCAACTTTTTCACTGACGTTCTTATAACCCTACTCTGTTTAGATGGTACAGTACACAAGGACAGCAACCTGATAATCTGCTATTAATTCATACCATGCGAAAATAGCTCAATGAAGGTGAGGTTTTCTGATGCTCAAGATAAAGATCAATACACGTTAGTTTGTACATCTGGTCTTTTACAGGGTATTAAGCTTGCTTTTAGAATGTATTTTCAGGTAGGTAAAATGACATGTAAGAAAAACTCTGAAAACCTCTGGATCTGCATCAGAAAATGGTTGTCTACGGAAAAAACGTTATTGCAAAACAGTTTCCCATGTTTTTCGGAAACAGGAGGCATTTTTAAATGTCTCATTTCATCAAACATTAGAATGGATTTTAAACTTCCAGCAAAACCAGCCCAGTTATGTGTAGTGGATGCAATGTACTGTATGTTTCCTAAGAAAGTCTGCAATATGATCATGAAACAAAATGTATATGTGAATGACTGAGATGTATTAATTAAAAAAAACAAACAAAACCAAAACATTGCAGCACAAATTAGGTTTTGTATTGTTTCAGTGAAACATGTTTCTCACTGGACTTAAAGATACCCGTGCATTTCTAAAAAGCAAATTTTAAGAGCAAGAGATACTGCCACAAAGACTTGACAAGACACGATTAAGTATTGGGCTAAAAGCAGCAAACAAAATAATGAAATGTTACATCTGGTTTAGATATAATATTAGGCTAAAATTCCAAGCATATTCACCGTAACATTTCACTTTTAAAGCACAGACAAATTTACAATTGAGTGTACGCTCCCAGACTTGACTGCAAATGCAAACTACTACGGCTTTGGAAAATGCAGTGGATTAATAGGGGCCGTCCTCTACAGACTGTTCTTAAATTAAATGTTATCTTGTATTTATTCTTTGTTTCCAACCATCTTATTTCCCAGAAATAATTTTTTTTCTTTTTTTGGTCAAGTAAAATGAATCATCATTTGTAAGGAGGGGGAAAAAGGAATCAGCAGGACAGGGTGATTCATACAAATAAGTTAACTGTGTAGTCACAAGATCACTGATCACAGGCAAAATACATTTTTAGTAATTAAAAAGTCCAGAATGTCAGATCATCTGAATCTCACTGATCTGTTAGTGAAACAAATCACTCAGTCATTAGCCCACCTTTAAAAAAAACCCAAAAAACTAGCATTTCAAAGTCAATATTCCAGAAAATTTGCGTTTTTTAAAATGCAACCTTCATTCAACAGTAAGTTTCAGTTAGAAAGTCACATATCCTTTAAGAGTGATAGTTTCTCAGCCTAAGTAATGATTTTTTTTTTGTGTATAGTTGCATTTATATGTATATATACACACACATGCTTATACAGGTAGACAGACGCACTTACTTCATGTTTGAAGATAAAGGTGAAGACATTGGATATTATGCATCAATACACAAGATGCATGTATTTGGAAATTTTTTTTGTGGAAGCCTTTCTAAAATTAACTGCTAATAGTATCCAAACAAATTTCTCTATGCATTTGCAGTATTTCCAGAAAGAAGCTGCACACCAACAACTTCAACTTGTTTCCTCTCCACCCATTTATAGGGCAGCACAGTATTTCAAGGCCTAAAGTGCAAGGCAAGAAGCCATGCTTCAGGAGAAGCACTCACCTAGCTCACCCGCCGCATTTCGACCACCAACTGCATACAAATGTCCTTTGAGGGCACTTAGGTGGAAGAAGGTGCGCTTCTCATTTAAAGATGCGACTTGCATCCACTTGTTGTAGCGAGGATCAAACCTAAAGACCGTGTCAACCGCCGTCTTTCCTTTTGTGTCGTAATTGCTCTGGCCCCCAACTACGTAAAGAAAGTTTCCGATCACAGCGATGCCGTGCTGGTACCTTGGTGCATCCATGGGAGCTAAGGATTTCCATTCATGGGCCTTTTCATCATACATCCGTAACTCCTTGCTGACAACCAGCTGCTGCCTCAGCACTCCCCCCAACGTCACCAAGTGAGTACTGTCTGATCGAATGGCAGTTCTCTCTGACTGCATAACCGGTTGCATGTATGGCATCATTTGGTAATTGCTGGCTTCCAAAAGCAAGTTTACACAGGTATTGTCAGTTCTCATGAAGTCCACTGTTTGAACATAGTTAATAAGATCCTGGGGCGTCATCAGTGGAAACCTGATGTTCTTCATTAGCTTTGCAGCGTACTCCATCCGAGGCTCCTCATACCGTAGCCAGCGACAAGCAGCCTTGAAGAGTTCAAGTTCAGTGCAGTGCTTAAGGCTATTACTTGAAAGCACAAAGGCAAGACGTTCAAAGGGGAGTTTCACAAATTCACCAGTACTTAATAATGCAGGGAAGTTCTTCAGGATGAAATTATTAACATATTTATCCACTTCTGTGAGATTGTATGTGTTGGCAATTCGCCCAACCTCAACACAGTTTTCCAACGAAACCTATTAAGTAAACAGAAAGAGGAATCAAAACACTTTCTTAATTTGGTGTCTAAATGATAATGTAGAATTTAATTAATACTATAGAATCAGCACTATTTCATCATTTCGCAATGCTCAAGGTGATTTACACATGAGCAAATAAATATTCAATGTGATGTACATATTCATGACTGCAAGGGGAGACCCAATGTATTCCTTGTTTTGAAGAAGGAAATAAGACAAGTAACAAGCAGATGGCATATATTAATTATGTCAAATACATTATACAATGATGATACATAGCAATTATACAGTACTTCAGCTTTGAAAAGCTCTGCAAACACCTTTGTAAGAAAGAAATGTGGAAAATACAGTTAAGGGAGAGGTGATCAGCCCAAGGTTACAGAGAATAATACAAAAGTAGGTCTCACCATTAGACATTTTCTAACATTATTAAAATTGTATTGTCATAATACAGCCAAAGAGAACAGCACAGCTATCTCGCCAATACTACATATTTCAGACAACTTATGTACAGTGTTCAATCCCATAAATACATTGCTTAGAAATGAACAAAATTGCATCTTTAGTAAATCAAGGTGGTGCTTTTATGGAATATGTTCAAAATCAAATACATGCCATTGTCAAAAATAAGAAAAAGGTAGTGATTTTTTTTTAATATAAATATAATTATTTTTTAAAATAATGAATCTTGGAGGATTTATAGAATCATAGAATAGTTTGGGATGGAAGGGAAATTTAAAGATCATCTAGTTCAACCCCCCTGCCGTGGGCAGGGACATCTTCAACTAGATCAGGTTGCTCAGAGCCCCGTCCAACCTGACCTTGAGTGTTTCCTGGGATGGGGCATCCACCACCTCTCTGGGCAACCTGTGCCAGTG